CTCTGGTCGATGCGTGCGCTGGCGCGCTCTTCCGGGAGAAATGCCCATATAAGGAGTTCCACCCTCGTCTACGTCATGAAGAGCCACGATCGAATAAAACTCTCCGAAAATTGTACGAACCCGGAAGTAAGATCTTTGGCACAGAAATACTCCGTCATATGTCCAAATTGTTTTTTGAAACTTTGTCCATGCTTAGCATGAGAATCCAACTCTTTAACAGTGTAAACACTCTGAATGCATGAAACAGTATTGTACCCCCCCTTTAAGTTTTGAGCCATGTATTATTACTCTAAATTGGGCTACTACTACTATCACTATCAAACTCAATTTTTAGGGGATGAATGGGAAATTTTTTTAAATAAAATCGGCCAAACATATCGGCATCATATATCGGCCGCCCTGATTTCTAAATATCGACATCGGCCAGTGAAAAACCCATATCGGTCGACCTCTATACTGTACTGCTGGATGATGGATCATAGCAATACAACACTATGCTTACATGTGTTCCTGTCTCATTGAAGCACTTTCTGTGTTAATTCTAGAACACTATGTGAGAAAGCAAGTAACATTTCAAGAATTGGAGTGTATTCAAGTCTTTTATAAACGTGATTTGTATGTTTGCACTTTGTCTGACTTTTTGTATGAAACCTCTGTCCCACTGTGCCTCAGAAAAACAATAATTAAATGTAATTCATGCTTCTCTGGATGTTTTGCATTCAAACAAGCAAGATGAATAACATAAAAAAAGGAAAGGCAAAGGAAATGTTTGCCAAAAAATGAAAATGCTGTCATCACTTACTCATCCTCATGTCATTTCAAACCTGTATGGCCTGACTTTCTTTCATGGAAAAAGAAACAAGATCCTAAAAAACACATTTTTGTTTCACTGAACAATTTGCAGTACAGATGAAACCCATAGTCTCAGATCTGTGCCTTATGCACAGATACACGTGTTCCTGTCTGATTAAATGAGTTAGCAAGCACTTTCTTTGTGAATTCTAGACCTTTATGTGAGAAAACAAATAACGAATCAAGAATTAGAGTGTATTCAAGCCTTTTATAAATTGTATTTGTATTAAAAATAATAAAAAGCCTGTATAATAAAAAGCACTTGTCTGACTTTTTGTATGAAACCTTTCTCTCACTGCTTCAGGAAAAAAAAACTGTAATTCATGCTCTTCTGGATTATTTGCATTCTGACAAACAAGATGAATACCACAGAAAAGAAAATACAGAGAAAAATTCTTAAAGTAAAAAATGTAAACGTTGTCTTCATTTACTCTCACCCTCATGTAATTTCAATCCTGTATGACTGACTGACTTTCTGCAGTAGAACAATGTTTTACATGACTTTTTACTTAGTCTTTTGTGATGCTATGTGTGCTTTTTGAAGCCTATCACTATACATTTCTTCTGAAGTCACTGGTAGCTTTGTGTGTGAATGTAAAAGTGTCAAGTGTGAAAATGTAAATCACTCACTGAAACTTTTGCCACATTTATGAAAGGAGTACAAATGTCTGATCTGTGAACAAATCATTTTTTGAGTCAAATCTTTTCAATTTATCTGTTGATCTACTGGTTCACAAAACTTGTAAGGTTTAGGAGCCTGTTCACACCGATAACTATAAAGATAATGATAAAGATACAGTTCTAAGAATCTCTCAATTTTAAAGAATAACAGAGTCCACACCACAGCTATAACGATAAAGGCACAGAGAAACAATATAATTGGAATCACTTTCAGAATTATTTTTTCCAGCTGATGAATGATAAAAACATTGACACTCAATCAGAATTGATCCTGCTATCACAAGCTGAAGAATTTAAAGCGGCAGACGCAGAATAAACAGACAATATTGTGCACTGGTGTGGACGCTAATATAGTTATCCTTCTTGATGTGAACGGGCCTTAAAGGGTTAGTTCACCTCACCCTCATGTCGTTCCAAACCCATAAGACCTTCGTTCATCTTCAGAACACAAATTAAGATATTTTTTTATGAAATCCGAGTGCTCTCTGCCCCTCCATAGACAGCAAGGGTCCTACCACGATCAAGGCACAGAAAGGAGAGTAGTAAGGAGAATACTACGAGAATACTTTTTGTGCACAAAGAAAACAAAAATAATGACTTTATTCAACGATTTCTTCTCTTCCGGGACAGTCCTCCGCCATTATAGACACATGCGCATTATGTTCCTATGTACATAAACAAGGTGAATCGCATGCGTGTTCTACGTCAGCAGCACCACGCACATGCGTTGATAATGGCAGAGGACTGTCCCGGAAGAGAAGAAATCGTTGAATAAAGTCATTATTTTTGTTTTCTTTGTGCACAAAAAGTATTCTCGTAGCTTCGTAAAATTACGGTTGAACCTCTGATGTCACATGGACCATTTTAACGATGTCATTGCTATGTTTCTGTGCCTTGATCATGGTAGGACCTTTACTGTCTATGGAGCAGAGAGCTCTTGGATTTCATCAAAAATATCTTAATTTGTGTTCCAAAGATGAACGAAGGTGTTACGTGTTTGGAATGACAGGAGGGTGAGTAATTAATGACAGAATTTTCATTTTGGGGTGAACTATCCCTTTAAGAGTTAGTAAATGATGACAGAAGTTTCTTATTTGGTTGAACTATGCCTTTAAAATCATTCCTGATCTTCTGGGGCCAGTTGCATAAATACAGCCATTATGTTAAAATGGAGTCTAAAAAACTAGTCTGAACCAGCTAGCTGTTAGCCAAGGGATAATCATTTATACTTTTTTAATTCTGAAATTAGACCAATCTAAGCTTATATGCAACAGACATCTGGTCTTAAAACAGGAAACAACAGCTGCCATGCCACAAAACAGTTGCCATGTCAACTTGCTATTGTAAACAAAAGCTTGCAATGTGTGCCCGGGGTCTTCCAATTGGTCCACTGTTTTGGAACTGACATTGATGAGTGGCGCTGCTCGTAAAAATTTAAATTCTTTTGAGTGTTTACATATAAAAACAATGGAAAAGTAGCACATTGGAGGCCATTCGCACAGAATGCACCAATCCAATGCACCACTTTTCTATTGTTTTTCTATGTAAACACGCACTAGATGGACTGTTACACTTGTGCTCGGGTTTTTGCAGCATCTCACACATTAGCGCCACGTTAAGACGCCATGTCAAGTTAAAAGAATTTCAACTTTTACATGCAGTGCTGCATGTTCCGATTTCAGTTCCAAAACAGTGGACCAATGAGAAGACCCTATATGGCAATGATCCAGAACAGATCAATATTCAAGAATAAGGGACAGCTCTGAGATTATGAGTTTCATCTGTAGTGCAAACAGTTCAGTGAAAAAAGACTATGAAAAACACATTTTCTTTTTGTGTTACATGAAAGAATGTCAAGTCATACAGGTTTGAAATGACATGAGGATGAGTAAGTGATGACAGCATTTTCATTTATTGGTGAACAATTCATGTTATTAGTCTTGTTTGTTTGAATGCAAATAAAAGACATAGGCCTAAATTACAGCGGACCAATCAGAAGACCCCAGAGACGGGAATAACGTTGCAAGCTTTTGTTTAAGGTAGCAAGTTGGCACGGCAGCGGTTTTATTTGACGGCAACATGGCAGAGGAGGCACTCACAGTGGCTGCGTCTGGATACCCTGATTTATATAATTACATTTCTTCAAGCGATTATCATCACAACCTGTGATAAAAAAAGAGCCTTGAGCCCTTAGTAAAAGTCATAGAAATTCCCTTAAATGCTGAAAGGATGCTATGACAAAGATATTGCATTCTTCTTCTGACAGCTGATGGCAAACTGATTTTTTTCACAAATATGACTTGACCTGATGAAGGGGCAGACGCAGGTAATCAATCGCACATGCTTTCTTTCTCTTTCTCTCAGTGCAAATCTACGGACCCTCTGTACAAATTACAGTCTTAAAGATGTTTAAAAAAAAACAAAAAACAGTTGATGTAGAAAAATTAAATGAAAAAAAAAAAAACTTGAACATTGCAGTTGTGGCAGATTGGATAAACCGAGTCAGAACTTAAAAGAATAGTTCACCCAAAAATTAAAAGTCGGTCATCATTTAGCTACTCACCCTCAAGTTGTTTCAAACTCATTTTGCTGAACACAAAAGGTGATATTTTGAGGAATGTCACCATCTAATTCTCTCTGTTCTATCTATTTGCTCAACTAAATCTACTAATAAAACTTAGATAGCTGGTCAGAATAGCGCAACTATCTTCATCCATAAATAAGCTGATATCTGAGCTGTCAGGGTCTCATTGATCCATGTGTCCTCTCCCTTCAAAAGGGCAGCAAGTCACTTGCATGCAGAGTGACTATTGTGTCTTCTGGTAGAGAAGGACATGAAACAACCAGTACCTTCTTCTAGAATGACTATGCAACTTTAATGCAATAGAATACACTCTAAAGCTGTTCACCAAGACACATAGGCACTACTAAAAGTTATACATGTGATATTATTACATTAAAAAAATAACAGCTTCTATTTTAATATATTTTAAAAAGTAATGTATTCCTGTGATGGCAAAGCTGAATTTTCAGCATCCATTACTCCATTCTTTCATGTCACATGATCCTTCAGAAATTCTAATATACTCATTTGGTGCTCAAGAAACACTTATTATTATAATTATTGAAAACAGTTGTGCTGCTTAATATTTTTGTGGAAAAAACAAAAAAACCTTTCTTTGATAAATATAGAGTTAAAAATAACAGCATTTACTCGAAATCATTATAAATGTCTTTACTGTCACTTTTAATCAATTTAATGCTGAACAAAATATTAATTTTCCTTCAAAAAAAAAAAATCTTACAGAATGGTAGCATATACAATTCACTATTGTAAAAGCATGTGGGCTACTTAAAAATAACGTGTGTAATTTCTGCACCACAAAACAAACTGCAAACAATTTTCAAACAGCTTTCCCAAGTATGCCTATGGTTGAAAAACAAGTCAGAAAGGCGTCTAGATTTACCTGTATTATTGTCATGATTTGCCCAGGTGGGGATCTTGTCCAATGGCACATAGTTTCCTCGATAATCTTTGCGCCTATCCTCAAGACCAAGACTGAGTAAGCGCTCTGTGCAAAAGAAGAAACAACACTGTCATAGTATACAGACAGACAAGAGCACGTCTTGTGAAGCAAAGCTAATCAGTTTGAATCAGAGGGGTTCATAAAGGAACATCTGCGACTAGCTCTATGCATCGTGTCAGAGTGGTACTCTTTGGTGTGGTAATTGTGGCAGCCATGTAAGTGTGTGTAAGAAAGAAGTGACAAGCTAATGAGGGTACACTGTTCAGCATACAGCTGCAGGCCTGACATGGAACCAGACTGTGTGTGATCTGTTTTATGTAGTGTACATGGACAATATAATTCAATAATTTACTCATATTTATGTGGCCAAAATTTGAGGACTTGCAAGACTGCAATAGACTAAAGTTTATACAGTTGGTTTCTGATTACAATCTATATCCTCCTTTCTCTTTTCATTCTCCATCCACAGGTTCATAACTTTCTTCCTAAGGTTTTAGTTTCACTTTTGTTTCTCCCATTAATGCAACCTTTGTTGACACTAAATGACATACAACTCCTTACAAAAGTTTTATAGGAGGGAGGGTACAAAACCCATAATTCTACATTTAAAATAAAGGACAATAAAAAATAATTATTATGTTAACAATAGGTTTTAGAATAGAATAGGTTTTAATTTTGTTTCTTATTTTTATCATAACCCAAACCTTTTTTTGAAAACTGTTTAACATTGTATTTTCACTTGTCTAGATTTAACTACATTTTTTGTGCTGACTAAATAAAACATGAAAATAAAATCAGAAATATACAAAGCAGAGGTACTAACAGAAGTTAATAACTCAAATGCAACATTTGGTATTTCTAGAAATTGGTGCAATAAAGTAAAGTCTAATGGGTTCACATTGCAGTTATCATGCAGTTATTTTGTGGTAAGATAAGAAGTTAAATTAAAATTAAATGTAATAATCTCTAATAAGTTCCCAAAAATATTTTTTTTTTACTCAAGACAAAATAAAACTTTACCTTGATATTCTTGATACAAACCAGCTCCAAAGTGCCCCTGCCGACACTACTGATTTTTCAAGCTGACTGCCCCTACATCTGCCTTTTTAACCATCTTTATTAATTTATTTTTTCCGTTTTTATACTCCTGCACTCCTTATTGCTACACGAATGAAGATGTCTTTCACAAAGGTGGCTTTATGAGTGCAATGTGTACTTGCGATTTTAAAATAGCACAAACGCCAACAAAGCGGATTCATTTCATCAAATCGCCATCTAAAGATACCATAACAGAAGTATTTGATGTTTGTTTACTGCATTGCACTGTATTACACTAGACGGTAAGTCAATAGCTCTCATCATATACAGTTTATCATATTATTATGAGTCTGATTTATGATAGTGGACCATTAATGCGTATCAAGTAACAATGCTGTCAACCTAATGATTTACAGTCTTGCAACTTCATAGGACATAATTAAACTTCACTGGAGTCCAAATTTTTAACAATCAATAAACAGTGTTGTCATGAACTTCAGGTCACACTGAATGATGTTTATGTCAAGAACAGGTGGCAGTGCTTGTGCACTTCAAATTATTATAAACAATCTTATTGTAATGATAAAGTGTCCAGCAAAAATATGATTATATTATCAAACAGGATTGGACAGTGCAGAACATCCAAACATACTATCAAAGTTCCACTATATCATCATGTCCCTAGAAATCTAACTTCCAGGAAAGTTTCTCCAACTCTGATCAAACGCAACTGAACCAACTCATTTTTGGCTATTATACTTACAATTTCAGACAAACGCTCTAGAACTAAACTACTTATGAAGGTTTATATACAGGACCAGGATTTAGCAAAAGTGCAAGCGTGCATGATATTCATCTCATTAAATGTTTAATCAACAGACCTTTTAATTTGTAATTTAGCTGATGCATTTATGCAAACTGACATACAGTGCACCTGTTACAGGTTCAGACTACATGGAGTTAGTCACACAGGGTTTGTCGTCTTGATCAAGGCCAAGGGTGCAATGGTCATAGTTCATGCAAAGCACCATATTGGGGTTTTTATGTTATCATACGGTTTTTCACTGACTGCACCAATCCAACACATGCACGTTCCAATTCATTTATAAAAGATTAAACACTAATTAAAGCATTTGATTTGCATTTAAACAGATTTTAACGCTGGACACATCAGGGCCTTGATCACAGCATCATGTACTGATGCTCCACCTGCATCTGAAGGTGTGCATCTGTCCATGCTGTTGATTCAAGAGGCAAGAGCATTTATAAGAAGACATTTCTCTCGCCACGTGCGTGCCGTGACCCCAGGTTCAACCCGGTGGATGTCAAACCCCTGACTGACACTACCGTTATGAATCCTGTCTTTAAACGGAAGAGACACGACCAGAGTCCAAAAGACCCTTACCTTTCTCCGCTCTCCACTCCTTTTTCTTTTTGCTCATGGTGCCGTGGTGTGAGGGCTTCTGGTAACTGGTTTTTGAGTTAAGCAACCCCAGGCTCACAGTGAGATGTGCGCTGAAACTCAAGAGAAAGTGAAAAAGCTCCTGTGGCGTGACGCCTCACCTGAGAAACTGTCAAATTGTAGTTGGTGGGGAGACTGTGCAGTGGTGCAACCTACCTTAACGCTAACAGTGGGGGCTGCGTGGAAAATGGAGCGCGGCGATTGGTCGGCTCGAACGCGGACGTTGTGTTAGGATTGGATGGTTTCATGCGGCAGTCCGATAAAACGCGCATACGCTTGACGTACGCTAGGTTGAGCGTCAAAGCGTTGTAGGGTTGGTGGGGTAGCAACCGAGGCGAGGGGAGTGAGTGAAAAACTTCAGAAGACTGCAGCGCCGTGCGTGGTAGTGGAATGCGGGGATGGAGCACCTATTTCATACAGCTGTTTATTGGTTTATTGATGTGCAACTTTACCTATGTGTTTCTTAAATAAAATACGGCGGTTTTGTAATATACTAGGATAGCCAAATCTACAATAAAATTACAGAAATTCCAGGACTCTCCATCATTTATCGACATACCGTCTGAAAACGATGGCAATGGAAAACGTGCGAGCGGCATTACCTCCTGTGGCAAACGCAACTTGTGTTTTTTAGCGTTTTGGTGAATGCCAAAATACTAACTTGTGATAAAAATTACTGGAACTTTTGAAATCCATACTGACTCCTCACATACTTTGCTTGAAATCTATAACATTTGTACAAAGGGTCCACTGAAGCACAAGGTGAAACATTCCTGTGGATCTAACTATATATTATTATCCAGCGATATTTACCCTATGTAATAATGGAAAAGATAGATCTGATGATATTGGTGATTTACTAAATGAACCTTTTTGTATAACAGGTTTGCTGTAAATGCCTGGGGACGTGTTTCAACCCAGATAGATTGCATATGAGTCTTTAAAAAGAGCTCTGTGACTTCAGATATATTGAATCTGTTACTTTAAGGCATTGATTAACTATAATGTGTACATTTACAGCTATTAATTACTTCTTAGAATATAAGCTATGGGGATTTGTTTATATGAGAGAAAATGTTTTGTCGTTCTTAGCATTATCACTCTGTTCCAAAAAGACGTTATTTCATATTATCAGTAAATATTTCATTAAGAACAAAGTTTATTTGACGAGAAGTGATTTATGACAGAATTTTTGCTGGTCGCTGCAGTCCTCCTGACTAGATCACAGAATGTACAAAAAGCTCCATTGTTGTGAAATTTCAATAAATCTGGCAAGAACCTAATAGTATTTAGATTAGATACTAGAATGGCCAAAAACCTAAAAGTCCTGACATGATTGTATGAAAAATTAAACCTGCAGAGGGCGTCAGTCACCGACTTAAATCAGAGAAATAAAACAAAACAAAAAATAATAATAACAATAGGACAAAACACAGGGCAAATTGCCTGGCTATTAACACATAAATACATCTGAAATACCACGCTCAGTTAACCAAATATTTATTTATAATATGAAAAAGGTTCAATAAAATGCAAGGGAGGGGCTTTTATCACATTTCTCATGATTTCCGGTTCCCGTGTTTCCCATGATGCCGTGCCCGTTGGGCAAATTCAAACAGTAGAAAAGAAATGGAAGAGGAATCGAGGAGAGGAGAGTTAGACTGTACAAACATGACTGTCATCACACATAGCAACATCAACGAAACTTCTAACAACAGCTACAATAACACAATTATTCACACCGATCAGTCTACATCTCAGGAAGAAGAATCAAAGGTTTCATCTGATGGAGAAAGGGAATGGAACATTTTGTGCCATGTCGATGATCCTGAATCCTCCACTAAATCTAAGGTGGAAAATTTGTGCTTGTTGGACTACAGTGGTGAGGTTGAGAGAGGCTCTTCAAGTCTCTCAATTATACATTTTAATGAAAATAATGCAATTTAATACTTTATTTAATTTTATTTAATAATTACTTTGGTGCTATAACTTTTGGTAAGGGTTCCTTTCATCTGGTTGAAACTGATGATTGTAGTATGTGTTTTTTATAGTTTGTATGCCCAAAGCATTAGACAGGAAAATGACATTTTGTTTCTGCTTTTTTATTTTCATACTGTCATGCGAATATCTTCTATAAAGATTGCCAGCAGATTGATCCTTTGGCCAATTCTTCTGGCAGTCAGAAGGATTGTGAATCTAGCGGAGTGTCTGCAAACCACATTAATGATGAGGAAATATTCTGGAGAGCAAGAGAAGAAGGACAAGTGAATGTTGTCTTTCCCGGCCATATCACCCAGGATGGCTGCTGTAGATTTGTTTGTGAGCTTCTTAAGTGTGTCCTTTACCAGCGGCAGCAGATACCTATGACATATGACCAAATGGTGTTCCTCCAGAAACAGCAGCATAATGCCACTCAGGTATTACAGAAGACCTGCTGTGTAGATATACCTTAATTTATAATTCTAATAAAGTTTGACTGAATTGTGCTTTCTTTCTCACAAAGGACATGGTAAACCAACGGTCTACAAAGACATCTGAGGGCTTGGACTGGCGTCGATGCCAGCGGACATTGCAGGATCTAGATGAAGTGCTGGCCCACCTTGAGGCATTGTTCTCTCTTAGCCAAGTTCCTCGTGTGCTTTTCATGCTGGGTGGGTCTACCGTCCTTCCCACCGAGCTGTATGAGGTAAACATGGAAGCGGTGGCCGTGGGAGCCGGGGAAAACTGCTTAAGGACTTCAACCTGTCTAAGACAGCTTTTCCGCACATTGTTTGTGGCTGACCTGTTGTCGGATGCCAAGTCTGTGCGCCTCATGACTACCACGGTCATGGCTCTGGGTCACCGGGATTGTGGCGTGACCGGGTTTAAGCCCAAAGTGGATTTTAAAGTCCCCACAAAAGTGAAAAGGCAAGTCATCTCTATAGCCAGTGATTTGTCACTCACCGGGGAGTTACAAAAAAGTAAAACAGATCTGGAGTACTATATATGGTTTCAAGCCCCTGTCACTGTGAAAGGTTTCTGTAAATGATAAGGGAATAAAGAGTAACAGATTTCAGGGAATGTTGAAATACAATTCACTCCATTCTCAGGGATCACAGCTGTATGACTGGCCAAAAAGTAAATGGGCTATTGTTTTTTTATTATTATTCAGGAATTCTGTGTGAATTTAAATTTTTTTAAAACCTCAGATTATTTATGCCATGTTTACATTGTCATCTGCTAATCCATATATTTTACATTATTAACTTTTACAGTATACAGTGGTGGTTTTCTAATGTTTAATAATCTTGGATGCTACTCACTCCAAGACCATTTGTACTCATTTGTAATTCCTATTAATTAAAACCAATTGCTATATGGCAGCTTCTGGAAACTGATGCATGTACATGATTTTAATTTACTTAAAAAATGCATGTGTTTTAGGCTCTTTATGTCTGTCAGTATATATTTTCATGAAAATAATGCATTTTAACACTTCCATTTGGTGCTATATATTTGTACTCTTTGTTTTTATTTGCAATTCCATTCACTTACAAAAGAACATTCAGTCTTGAGGTCAGAGATCATTAAATCTGGTTGAAACGATGCAAACTGACGATTGTAGCATGTATATTGTTATGTACAATGAAACTAAATTTCTTTTTTAGCAAGCAGAAGTTAGTGTTTCATTTTTTTAGAAATGTTTACTGATTTTAACAGTACACAGTAAAACGTATATCTTGAGTTCTTATGTTAAAATCATGCAAAAAAAATACAAAATTATATTGTACAGAACTTTTTCATATAACTTTGGTTCATTGAAAAACCACAACATTCCTTAATGTTGAACCTTGCATTTCCAACTGAATTAACTTCAGATTGTTAAATGCACTAATGACACTAAACAGAAATGATAAGAGCAGTGCATTATTCTCTTAATATACTGCTGTTATTTGTGGTCTTTGCTCTCCACTTTCTCCACAAACTGAAAGATGTCTTGAGCCATCAGCTGAGGTTCTTCAAAGGCAGCAAAGTGTCCCCCTCGGGGCATGTAGGTGAAAGAACGCACATCTGTAAACCGTGAGCCAGCCCAGGCCCTAGGGCAGTGGAGCAGCTCATCAGGAAAGGCAGCCAGGCCAGTGGGCACATACACACTCATCCTTTAAGGGAAAGAAGAAAAAGCTTTTTTAGCCATACAAATCAAATCTTTTTTGAAAAGGCTGCAAAGAATTCAATGCGTATGAGGTATAAGTATTCACATTGGGTCACTACAAAGACTTTTTGAACTTACACTCTGTCCACCCTTGTCTTGAAATCTTTCTTCAGGTTCTCTTTGTAGAAGCGCATTGAGGGAATGATGGAACATGTGGTCCAGTAGATCATGACATTTGTAAGGAGGTCGTCTAGACTGAACTTTCTGTGATGGAACAATAAGTGACAAAGCTACTTAATTAAAATCGAACTAAACCTTTATATTTTTAGATTTTGCTAGCTACGCAAAAATATGTAAGTTCCAAAGTTTCAATATCGATAATAAAATAAAATTCAAAATATTTAAATGTTTCTAGAGCACCAAATCAGACTATTAGAATTATTTCTGAAGGATCATGTGACACTGAAGACTGGAGTAATGATGCTGAAAATCCAGCTTGGCCATCAAAGGAATAAATTATATTTTAAAATAAATTCAAACAGCAAACTTATTTAAAAATTTATTTCACAATATTACTGATTTACTGTATTTTTGATCAAGTAAATGCAGCTTTGCTGAGTATAAAAGACTTCGCAAAGATGAAAAAATTGTACCGACCTCAAACTTTGGAACAGTACTATATATTTACATTTGTGCAAAATGTCTGCAACTGTATGAGATTAATCTTTCTTCACCTCTCTAAACCTCCATCCTCCAAGTCTCTGTTTCCTAAGTCTGTCCAAGAGGAGAATTTCTCCAAGATATAGGCAGCCAATCCGACTGCTGAGTCATTCAGTCCACAACCTGCAACATATTTTTAAGTTAGGCTTTCAATTAAGTGTTAATCTGACATTACCCAAAAGCATAACATGATATGTGCCAAGTATTACCTGCTGTGTCTGGTTTAGTGGCTTGAATGTCTAAATAGCCAGTTTCTCTCGGTATATCAAATATATTCTTCTCCATGTAAGGATAGAGTCGTCTGACATCTTCCTTTGTGAAGCCCACCAGGAACGGCAGGTAGCGACCAATGATTAAGTAGAGGAGCTGTCCAAGGCTGTCTGTCCTGGCAATGACCATGTTCAAGTGCAGTCCACGAATGCACCTTATTTTAAAGAGAGCAAAAGTTAGCTTTTTAATTGACAATTAATAAAAGGTACTCTATATTAAAAAGCATATTACAGAAAAAGAGACAAATAATCTAGTGACAGAGACTCATGTCATTAAAAGGACAGTTATTAGGATAGTAAGGGGTGTAAAACTCTTACTCTGGCTTCATCTGGGCCATGTTGTTTGTAATGAAGGCTACCCAGTCTCCTCCTTGCACGTAAAACTCGGTGAATCCCAGTCTTTCCATCAGCTTATGGAAGATGCGGGCAGCCTCCAAAGTGTTGAATCCTTCACGTGAAATAATGGAAAGAACAGCAGGTCTGTTCTCCATTTCCCATCTATTTGCATATGTTTAGATTGTATATTATCCATATGCCATCTTGCTTTTTGTGTGTCTGTGCAAAGTTATCAAGGTCTTTGTCTAGCAGAATTAGCCATAAGTTCCATAAATGTTGAAAGACTTACCTTTTTTATGTGGGGCTTCTGAGTAGCCATAGCCTGGAATGGAGGGGCAGATGACCTCAAAGACCACATCTGAATCGGTCTTAGTGAGCAAGGGTATGATCCTGTAAAACTCATAGAAGGAACCAGGCCAGCCATGAACCATCATGAGAGGGAGAACTGTCTGTCCAGCCTTCTGGACAGGCCTCACGTGGACGAAATGCACATCTATTCCTGAGAAGCAGTACAGGCTTTCACTAAAATGAACAGTGTGTAATATACCTAATCACATTTTGTGAATGCAAGATGTGGGACTTGAAATTGCATGCTTTGTTACTACATGTTTTGTCTAGTGAGGTAAATGATCACCTTTGAAAGTGTTAGGTGCTTACTTACCCTCAATTTTGGTTTTGAAGTGAGTATACTGGTTAATCACCTTCACCTGCTTTTCCCAGTCAAACTGGTGCCTCCAATAAGAGACCACCCGTCTAAGATAGTTAGAGTTGAATCCATAATTAAAGCGGCTATCCTTCAGTGGAATCGTGAAGCGTGTTTGATCAATGCGTCTTTGTAGATCCTAAAGAAAATAGTGGGGTTAATGATGACATTTAAATATATAGTGGTTGAGTGAGTGTATATTTAACACACATGAAAGTGGAAGAGAGAGTGTTCATGTGGGGATTTATGTGAAAACCTATTATTTGATTATAAAATTGCTGATTGCCACACCATTCTTCACACAAAAGATGCTGACTTGCATTACACACTGGAATAAAACATTATTACTGTTTAGGTTGTACACCCACCTCTATCTCTTCCACCGAGGTCGTCACTACAAATCTGTGAATGGTTTCGTCCTCAGTTAAAGGCTTCTCTCCAGCTCCCCACCAGCCATCCCCCACTGGTGTTGTTTTGGGGCTTTGCCTCCATGCCAAGTAGCACAAAACAGCTCCAACCCCAGCAGAAGTGAGTGCTAGGAGCTGTAGTTTAGACTGATCGAGGTTAACAAGGGTCTCTCTAAAAGTGAAGAAAGTTGGTTGACAACAAACGACAAACAAACTTATGGATCGGAACAGATTTTAAAAACTGGTCATAGTACAGTAAATGATTGAGAATCTCACACTACCAGACTTTCAAGTTGTTCAAACACAACAAACTCATGCAGACGTATGTGCCTAGTTTCTAGGAGACACATGACAAATGAAAACACTATGTAATAAATTGGCTAAAATTTATGCCTGTGCCCATCATACTCTGAAGGTTTTGTTTGAAATCAGTCAACCCCAACTGCCCAAAATCTTAAGAATGGCTTTAATACTATATTTTTGTATTTACTTAGTAAGCAAATAAACATGTTTTTTCTGTTTTTTTTTTTTTTTAGTTTAGTTTTAAAAAAGGGGTTTTAAATTTTTTTTTTTTTTTTCAGCCTCATCCACCCTCTTCCCACCATTCACTGTCGAAATAATATTTAATATTGTAGCATTGTTTGACCATTTGTCAGGTTTCTTGACAGTGCTGCTGTTGATTTTATCATCACATTATATAAGGTGTTGTCTTGTGATGCCAGGATGAGATTATTTCTCAAATAAAATTATATTTTAAAGTATTTCATGACTGTTGAGTCTTAATTCTACATGTCGTTTAAAGGGGTCATATGATGTTGCTAAAAAGAACATTATTTGGTGTAATGAAATGTGTTTATGCGGTTTAAGGTTAAAAAAACACATTATCCAAACAAAGTAGTTTCGCTTTCACAACGAAACACACAGCGCCTTCACGACATGGCAGCGGCGGCAACAACAATACTACAGCGAGAATAAAAGTTACTAAAAGTTAGCATTCTTTCTTTGCGTGAACATTTGGGCGGTGTTATGCAAATCTTCCCACATCATGATGTAGACATGTGGGGGCGTGTTAGAACGAGCCGTTTTAGGTAGTAGTGGTTGACACTTAACTTTTATAAAGAATATCTCTTTTGATTTGAAACTTTAGTCTTTGCAATTTTACAGATCTTCTTTATGTACCAAGAGCTTGTAACACTCCAAAGAGAAAGGAAAAATTGAAATCGCATCATATGACCCCTTTAAAATAAGCACATTGCTCTTTATGGCCTGTAACGTTACATTTTTCATAGAAAACATGAGACAACGCACATGATACTGACTGATATAGAACTAACATTATGAAACTAATGAAAATAATTTATATTGACTAAAGTCACTATGACTACTTAAGTGAATGAATGCTCAACAAAAAATAAATGCATGCAAACTAGACAAACAAAGACGAATGTGGTGAAGTAGCCTACATGCAGTGACCTCGAAATGACTAGGAAAGCTGCACCCCAACGGAAATGGTTTAACCCGGTTTAGTAGTAGGAGAGACTGCACTAGCATTACTAAATTAACGCTCCGCAATTTTACTCACTTGAAGTATTCAGTTGTCTCCATAATAGAGTCCTCAAAGCCCATCGTACGTTAAGAAGCTGTGTCTTTTCCAGACAAAGTTGTGTTGATGAGCTGTTTACCATTAACAGTGCTTATGTAACGTTAAAGGGGTCAAATGATGCTTTTTTAAAGATCATTATTTTGTGTATTTGGTGTAACAGAATATGTTGACATGCTTTAATGTTCAAAAAACACATTATTTTTCAAATACTGTACATTATTGTAGGTCCTCTATGCCCCGCCTCTCTCAAACGCTTCGTTTTCTACAAAGTCCCTCCTTCCGACAAGCGCAGTCTGCTCTGATTGGCCAGATGACCCAGTGCATTGTGATTGGCCGAACACCGCAAGCACGCGTCGGAAATGTAACGCCCCTTACCATAATCGCCAGCTTCATCTTTCAAAATAAATGTAAAAACAGAGCCCGAAAGGGGAACAGAGTCGCGCACACACACACACACACGATGCGCAAAACTCCGCATTTGAACAATCAATAGCAAATACTTAAACTAATAACAAAACAGTAGCTGATTCAGAAGCGCCAGATTGTCATAGCAAAGTCAGAATTACCTCCTCTCATAGGTTCACGAAACGGTCGTCCATAAAATGCATTGCTGTTCTGTTGTAAGTAATCTTAAAGATTCCTAAATGCATCTACTTTCGGAAGGCCAAATAAAGTGCTTTTGCTTTCGCCTAGAAACACACAGCGTCTCCCTGACATGGCTGCTTCAACACTAACTGCGGTTACTGAAACCACGCCTTCTTTCTTTGCGTGCACATTTGGGCCGCATTATCCTAATATTTCCACATAGTGAGGTAGATATGTGGGGGCGTGTTAGAACGAGCCGTTTTAGGGGGGCGTGGCAGAGTCTTAACTTTGATAAAGAATATCTCTTTGGTTTTGAGACTTTAGTCTTTGCAACTTCAGGGATCTTATCTATGCACCGTCAGCTTGTAACACTCCAAAGAGAAAGGAAAACTTGAAATCGCATCATATGACCCCTTTAAAGTGCAAATACGGTCAAGGTGCGAAGGTGGTATTTTTTCCCCAAACTCACATTAGCCAAAGCCAAAAACCCCGCCCCTTAGCAGATTTCATTGGTCAATTCAGTCACGCTGTCACCTGTCAGGAAAACTTCAGAAAAATCATGAATTTCGATCACGATTAACAGTAAGAGTATAACAGCAGTGTCGTTATCTATCATGATGTGTTATCAATGCTATTCTATGGTTAATGTTATGGTTTAGGGTAGCGTTAAGGATTATTGTTTCAGTGTTGTATACTAGGCATGCAGCTCTGTGATTGACATCACCAATGAAATCTTTAGAATCGGCCGCGGGGCGGGGTTTCCGTTTAGGAAAAGTCGTGCGATGCAGACTATGCTCATTTTTATGAACTCCTGTTCTTCTTCATTTGTCTGTCACTAATTTGCAGTTACATCTGAATTGTTTGTGTTATGCTTCCAGCAACATGTTCATAATGTTGCAGTTTTGTATTTTGTAATAGGCCTATATATCAGTTTGTGAATCCACAAATGACTCTCTTTGACTATAGTTACTGTCATTTCCAAATCAATGGGTGAGATGATAATACATTATTACATTCATCATAGTTTGCAGCAAAACTCTCCTGGACAGTGTGTCTCCAGAAGCAGAGTTGAAGCCCCTGGGGGCTTCCTGAAGTAAGTTCAGGCAACTTGTTAACAATCGACTAAATTGGCGCAAATCTATTTAATCTTTGAGACTATGCTAAAGTCCTGCAGCCAGCTGCAACAAAGCCCTTTAAAAAGTGATTATTAAGTGATTATACCTGTACCATTACAGCAACAGTAAGCAGTTTCTTAAGGGTTTTGTTGCAACCCTGTTTACAGTGCTTTCAAATAATGATGTAAACGTCTGCCTGGTTTCAAGACTACTTGTAAAATAATCATAGAAAATCCAAGGAAGGAAACTGAAGGGTCACTGCTTGTTTCTTACTTTCTGCAAATAACAGTGATTAGTTTAGTGGTGAGAATCAATCATTGGGCTGCTTCACACAATGCATTGATTAAACATACCGATCATTAAGAGCTGAGACAAAAGATTTAACAAATGTGACTTATAAATAAGGAATAAGAAACATTAGCAGTGCCACAATAGGTCATTATATTTTTTAAGAATTATAACATAGTACAAATCTAGAGAAACTGTAAGTACAGGACAGTTTGGAATGGTAATTGGAAGTGCTTAAAAAATATCCCAGGCCACTGACTTATGGTAATCATCACTGTGACTTTGCATGAGGTTAAACCCTGTTTACTCAGTGAGTTAAAATATCTTGCAAAGTCCTGATTCTGTATGAATGAGCAATTTCTGTAAGAGGTGCAGTGAATGAAACCATTATCTGAGCTTTCTCTCAAAAGGCAAAATTGGCACCACTTTGATTTTGCTTAAATATAATGGGAGGACTGAAACTAGAAATAAAGTGTTACGAAGTTACAATTTTTTACAGCATAATTTTTTCAAAGAGGAGTTTTGGATTTTGTTTTATAGGAACAACAACAGGCATTCATTCTGAGCTACTTTACACCTGCTTTTGTTGAGATCACAATAGCAGAGACAGATTTATAAAACCATAAGCCATAAAGACCTGCATGTCTTATCCAAGCTGCTTATACAAATGGGGTCAACAGAAAATAATTTGTCAATAGAAAAATAAAGAAAGAGGGATTTATAAAAATTCAGACACAGTGGCTGAAGCAGACGGCCTAGTTTGAATTGTAAAGACTGGTAATTCGATTAGGTTTAATATCAATTATCTTAAAACATAAAATTACAAGTTTTTCTCAAATGTTTCCAAAAACATTCAAATGTATGCAACCAACATCATCAAATTGTTACGACAAACATCAGGTAGGTGGAGCAGACATCTAAATAAATCAAACAAATAAATACAAAATTTATAAAACAAAATTAAAGTAACTCAGTGCTTATAGGCTGCATTCAATAATTTAATCGTATTATTTTTCTTCAAAAATCTCAACCAACTAAAAACATCTGTATAACAAAACAGGCTTTGCTTTATCTTTGTGAATACATTTTGGTACTATTCCACATGAAAAACCCAAATTACATTCTGATATTTTAACAAACATTTCAATCCGCTCCATTAACATCCTTCATAATCCATAGCATATATAGCCTAAACCTACGGCTGAAATTATCCGCAAAACGATTTCAGTTCATTTCAATGTGTAAAGAGGAAGACTAAAAAGACTATTCCAATACAGTGTTCGCCTTACAAGTGCTGTAATTAAATTAAAAAGACAAAACAATGAATTTTTCAAAAACCCATTGCCTCTCCCTGAAACTGCAATTGGTGGAGGCACGACGCCCCGCCCCTAAACGCAGAGCTACAGAGAGTGACGTTTGTTTATATAATCTCGGTGAGCAGATTTGGTTACAGTTTGTCGACATAGCAAGGAAGAATCAAGACAGGGCGAGTCAGTTAATCCGGTTCGAGCATGTATTTTAAGATGATTGTGCCGTTTTTGGCCGTGATTTTGGCCGTGGGGAGCGCTGGGTTGACTGGAGCCCCAATGGATGCAGACATGAACGATGAAGGGGTTCAGAATGCGTTACAGTTCGCAGTGGCCCATTACAACAGACAAAGCAATGATGCGTTTGTGCGTCAGGTTTCCGAGGTCATCAAGGTCCAAAAACAAGTAAGTACTTTAAATGTTTATTCGGTTTGTCGTCGTTTAAACTGGGAACGTCACCGAATCACGCCTAGTCATATAGTTAGTTCCTCCCGATATAAAGTTGGTTCGACGTTTGACATTTGTCAGAGATTCAGCCTCGGAAATCTTAAAGAAACATAATGTGTTATAATTGTTTTCAAATGTAGAAGAGAACACACAATGTTTTATTTTGTTTTAATCTGCCTTTAAGGTATTGTAACTGATAGACCTTATAATGTAAAAGTGCAGGATAGGGACCGTCTGCAAAATAAAAAACCAAGAGCCACAAGCACAATTATTCCATCTAAATGCTTCACTTGTGAAATGTGTAAAAAAATAAATCTCAGATCTAAGGGGTGTGTCTTATTACTGGTTCATAAAAGAACATTTAGATGTTGGTTTTATTCACAAAACTATAGCACAACAAAAGCTATTGAAATTGAACAGTTTATGAAAAAGCTTGCAAAGCATTACAAAGATTGTGCAGTTTTATCGTCCCCTAGAGGAAGATATTGCACTTGTCTTGACCAAGTTTGACCATCTTTTTCTATCATATGTAAATCAGGATGCACGCTATTGAATTAAATTTTAATCTGTTAACACATTCATTTTTAAAACATACTGTATTCCATCTCAACTTCAAAGGGTTTGTCTTGTTACTGGTTCATAGACGAACATTTAAATGTTGGTTTTATTCACAAAATTATAACACAGCACATGATATTAAAATGTCAACGAATACATCAATCAATGTAAAGTAAATACGCTCTTCTATCTTAACTTCAAAGGGTGTGTCTTGTTAGTGGTTCCTAAACAAACATGTAGATGTTGGTTTTAGTCACAGAACTATAAGACAAAACACATGATATTAAAATGTAAACAAATACATCAATTAATTTCTATAAATGTACTCTTCTATCTCAATTTCTAAGGGTGTGTCTTGATACTTGTTCCTAAAAGAACATTTCAATGTGGATATTATTCACATAACTATAAGACAAAAAAACATTGAAATGTAAAAATTGAGAAAAAGCTTATTAAGATGTGCAGTACACCGCCCCCTAGAGGAACACATTGTAGTTGTTTTGACTGAGTTTAAAATTCAGAAATGTGAAAACATTTATTTAAAGGGGTCATATGATGCGATTTCAAGTTTTCCTTTCTCTTTGGAGTGTTACAAGTGTTGAAGCAGCCATGTCAGGGAGACGCTGTGTGTTTCAGTGCGAAAGCAAAAGCACTTTATTTGGCCTTCCGGAAGTAGATGCAATTAGGAATCATTGGTTAGGAGGGGGCTTTGTTGAAAACGACGTGTTTGAGAAAAAAAATGTGTTTTTTGAACATTAAAGCATGTCAACATATTCTGTTACACCAAATACACAAAATAATGATCTTTAAAATAGCATCATATGACCCCTTAAACATACACAGAGTCTGACATTTAAACCTCAAAGGGTGTGTCTTGTTGCTGGTTCATAGAACCACATTTCTATGTGTCTTTTACTTTCATAAAAAAAATTGGATACATACTATTGAATAATCAAATTCAAACCTATTAACATATCATTTTTGTAAACATACATTTTATCTCATCTTCAAAGGCTGTGTCTTGTTACTGGTTCATAGAATAACAGTTAGATATCGGTTGAATTTGCAGAACTAGCACACCACATAATGTTGAAATGTAAGCACATACATCAATTAATAAAAAAAAATACAAATACTCTTTATGGTTTAATACTAGCTTTATGGGGTGTGTCTTGTAATTGTTTCCTATAATGACATTTAGATGTTGTTTTTATTCACAAAAGTGTAACGCAACAAAAACTATTGAATTGTAAAAACTGAGAAAGAGCGCTGGAAGCTTCCCAAAGAGTGTGCAGTACACCGCCCCCTAGAGGAATACATTGCAGTTGCTTCGACTGAGTATCATATTCAGAAATGTGAATAAATAAATTAAAAATACACAAAGTCTGACATGTCAACTTTAAAGGGTATGTCTTGTTACTGGTTGATAGAACAACATTTACATGCTGGTCTTATGCACAGAACAATAACACAATGTACAATATTGAAATGGCAACAAATACATCTATTCATTTCTAATAAATACACTCTTCTATCCCAATTCTAAGGGGTGTGTCATGTTACTGGTTCATGGAACAACATTTACATTGTGGCTTTAGTCACGAAACGGCTACACAGCAAAAGCTATTTAAATGTAAGGATTAAGCAAAAAGCTCACAAAGCCTTTCACAGATTTTGCAGTACACTGCCCCCTATAGGAACATGTTGCATTTGTTAAGACTGAGTTTGACATTCAAACTTTTAATAAATTAATTTAAAACACAGAACTATAATTGAACACATACTATAGAAAATGAAACCAATACATAATTTAGTTTAACTTTAAAATAAATACAATCTTCTACTTCAGCTTCAAAGGCTGTGTCTTGTTACAGATTTCTCAAAGAACATTTTCCAGTTTTCATTGTCAAAACAGATGCAGAAGTCACGCTATTGACATTCAAAAATCACTTGCGAAACCTTCCAAAGAGTCTCCAGTATTACTGCCCCCTAGAGGACGATACTGCAGTTGTTTTGACTGAGTTTGACATTTAAACCTTTAATAAATTAATTTAAAATCAATACAGTCTTCTATTTCAACTTCAAAGGGTGTGTCTTGTTTCTGATTCCTAAATGAACATTTCAATTCAGGCTTTACTCTCATATGTAAATCAGGAAATATGTAATTGAATTTAATTAAAAAACTTCATTAATTTTTTATTTTGGGGGGGGGGATAGTTGTTCATGAGTCCCTTATTTGTCCTGAGCGTAGTCTTCAAATCTGGGTACTGTCTTACGTTTTAAAATCACAAAGGGAGTTTGGTCCCATCAGGGTAACGTGACAGTCACGACTCGTGCAGCTGTAAGGTTTTCTTTTTCTTTTGTTTTTACTCGCGATCTTTATAACATGCACACTTGTTTTATGCGTATTTGGCGCCACCTAGTGTTGTGGGTGTATTATTGACATGTCAAAGTCTAGACCCTGAATATAAGACGACCGCGTTTTTTCAGATGTATTTCCAAGAAAAAAACATTGTCTTATATTCGGGACAATACGGTAATTGATGTATTGGTTAATCAGCTTAATAAACAATTTAATTGGATATTCAGTTTCAATTGCATGTGTTCTCTCATAATTCTGTGGCTAAAACCAACATTAAAATATTATTCTACAAACCAGTAACAAGACACAGCTTTTGAAGTTGTGATGGAAAAATGCATACATTTAAATTAATTTATTAACAGATTTGAATTTCATTCAATAGCATGGGTCCTGATTTACAAATGAGAGTAAAACCTGCATAGAAATGCTCTTTTAGGCCAAATTAACAAGACACAACTTTTGAAGTTGAGATGGAAAACTGTATGCATTTTAAATTAATTTATTAAAGGTTTGGATGTCAAACTCAGTCAAAACAACTGCATTATCGTCCTCTAGGGGGCAGTAATACTGGAAACTCTTTGGAAGATTTTAGCAAGTGATTTTTGAATGACTTCTGCATCTCTTTTGACAATGAAAACTACTGCAAAATGTTCTTTAAGAAATCTGTAACAAGACACAGCCTTTGAAGCTGAGGTAGAAGATTGTATTTATTTTAAACAAAATTATGTATTGGTTTCATTTTCTATAGTATATGTTCAATTATAGTTCTGTGGCTAAAACCACCATCAAAATGTTTGATAAATTAATTTATTAAAAATTAGATCAAGTCAAAACAACTGCAAAACAACACTCTTTGCCAGCTTTGTCTTAATTGTTGAATTTCAGTAGCATGTTTTCTGTTATAGTTCTGTGACTAAAACAAAAATAAAAATGTTCTTATAAAAACAGTAACAAGACACACACCATGACGTTGATACAGAAGAGTGTATTTATTTTAAATAAATTTTTTATATGTTTAAATTTCAATAGTGTGTACTTTTTTGGTGTCATACTTCTGTGAAAACAACAAACATTAAAATGTTCTCACAAGGACCTGGAATCAGCCTACTACATAACCACTGGATTATGGAATGATAATGATTTTTAATATTGTTTTTCTTTTATTAATATATTTATTAATAGTAATAATATAATAATTACCACATAATCACATATCTTGCTTGCAATATTTCTTATTTAAATTCAAGTGAGCGTTATAAGTGTTTGTCTTTATATCTTTCAAAGACCTTGGTGTACAAATTGCTCTTGTTTTGTTAATTGTATATATAAAAAAAAAAATTCCGGTGGGAAAATATTAATCGTTTTATCCTTTACATGTACTTTGTAGACGGTCCCTAGCTGGCCTAAGCGCTAGCGCGCCGGTGTTTTAGAGCCTTCTTTATGCCTTGCAACCATAGACTGTATAAAAACATGGACGTAGTGTCCGTGACGTCACCCGTAGTTTTCCGAAGAGCGTTTTTGAAGCCTAAAGTAGGCGGAGCCGGCCGTCGCCATCTTGGCAGTGCGTCACCGCGCGTCACTCCCGGATAATCGAAAATGGGCAAAGAGGCGGGAGCTGCTTGCTGAAACCACGCCCACCTAGCTCGACGGTGGTGACAGCAGCAGCAATCCACCTGTCACTCGGGTGGTGACAGCAGCGGCAATCCACCTGTCACTCAAGTGGCCACGCCTTTAATTATGCAGAACTTTAAGGCTTAATGTAGTTTAAACGGATGAGTTATTAAAAAAATTCACCCCCCTCACAGTTGTCATGAAGGGCAAAATTAGCTATATAGACCAAAATAATTTTTTGAACCAGGCTGTAAACGTTTTTTTCTGCTGTAAAGTTGGGCATTTTAACATGGGTGTCTATGGGATTGCCTCCCTTTTGCAGCCAGCCTCTAGCGGCCAGTTGACGAATTACAGTTTAAGTCACTTCCGTGTTGGCTTCACAAGAGAGAGTGGGAGGTTGCCGCTTGGTTGCAACCTGTTTTTATACAGTCTATGGTTGCAACACGAGGTGGATTAAAACAAATACACTGCGATGTGTGTTCAGTTCTACGTTCTAATGCTTTTCAGATAAGCCATTTTTTATACAATTATACTCATCCACTAAGAATTTATTGATTTTTTTTCGCGGCTCAATATCTGTCTAATAGCCAACGTCAAACGTTGAACCAACTTTATATCGGTAAGTTCCTCCTAGAACGCTGTCACAGTGACCGGGGTGTAATCAGTATTACTGGCAGTCAAAGAGGTGTTTACGTTTAACAAACGTTTTAATGTTTATTAGTTTGAATATTTTATTTCTTAAAAGTACGTTATTTTAAGTTACATTTTTAAATATTTTTTGTCTGTAGTAGTCAAGTAGTGACTAGTATCTTTTCAATGTATTTTACTAGTGCCTTTTACTAGTCTGTGTTGGAGTTAGTAGGCTATCTAATCTGTCTCTGATGAGTAGTTACTGGAGAAAATGATAAAGATTCAAGGAATAATAGGAATAAAAATGAAAAATGTTTAAAACAGTACATGCATGTAAAGATTTGTTCAGAGCAACTGCATGAAATCTCAGAACCATGAAATTGTTCCCAGTTGTACATAGGGACCAACAGAATTGTTTGCCTCAACATGAAAACTATTTATATTATATGCTACATAAGGAAATGTTTTTTTTTTAAGGTAAGAGAGTAAAGGATTGTTCAAATGTGATTTGCTAGACATGTTCAATAAATATTGAAACTTGGAGAGAGAGTTTTCTCCAGCATGACTTTGTAATAGTGGTGGCTGTCCCTAATTAAATAAATCTTTGAAGAAAAATGTAGGGAGCCAGACAATTTTATTTATTTTTTGGTCAAATTTAAACAACTTTTTTCGTTTTTTGTGTGTGAAAATTACAAAAATAATGTATGTAGCATAAATAACTTATTACTGCTTAAATAAAATGCCCTCTTTGCTCACATAATGATATGTGTATGGTAAGAAGGACTTCTGGAAGGTCCTCCTTTTAATCATCAGTTGATGTAGGTTGCCTGTGTGACACACACATCAGGCTTGGCCCAACTATGCCTTAACATTTTTCTGGTTGACACTACAGGTTGTCTCTGGCCTGAAATACATCTTCACTGTGAAAATGGGCAGAACCAACTGCAGAAAGGGTGGAGTTGAGACACTGTGTGCCGTTCATGAGGATCCCAATGTTGCACGGGTAAGACGCACTGTGTCTAATTTACAGTATTGTGGTTATCTGTTTACATTTCTTGATTTCCATGTTAAAAGAGATTGACCCTTTTTTATCTTTTCCTTCAAGGCCACTCAGTGCAAAATAACGGTCTGGAGCCAGCCATGGATAAACTCCATTAAAGTCCTTGAAAACACCTGCCTGGCCTAGAGCTTGTTACTAGTGCAGTTTGGGGCTTTTCAACATTCATGCAGCAATAAAATTTACTTGCTATTAGTAATAATGGTGAACCTTAAGTCTTTACTCTTGATAAAATCTAAGTTTTGTTTGTCCTAAAAACCTGCCAACAACAGATCATGATAAAAGACACTTCATTAACACATAATCATGTCATCTCATTAGACTCCGTTGCTCTGAAAAAGCTACAATGTGTAGGAATTTCTAAATGATAAAACGCATGTTTAGTTCATCCTTTACTATTAAAACATGGTTGAACACAATATGTCTGTGTGCTGTGTTTATTTGGTTAATTTATTATGGAAGTCATAATGACCTGACGTTACAAATTCTACGATTGAGAACACGGTGTTAGTGTTGGCCTGGATATTATTTTATGTATTTACATAAACATAAAAAAACAGTAAACTTTGATATAATAACAGTTTAATAAGAGCTACCAGAAGTGATATTTGTGTTTACTTTTAGATTTTATAAATGTCACAATGTTGCATTCACACTTTTCCTCTGTGCATGAAATAAACCTCTGCAAAGTTGCTGCATTAATACAATCATGTTGATAGTGTTGAAACAATGTTTTTCCATCATGTTTTGATTGCCACGACTGCTGTAGTTGGAATAACAGTTGTTATTATCTATGGATAAAAAACAAATAGGATAATACTTTTTTTTATTTCTTTTGTTTTCTACGTAGTCGAAGTCATCAGTGTAGCTTGTGGCGCCCTCTGTTGGTGAAAATAAACGCTGTACGATTGCTCTGATAACCAGGAGGCTACGTTGGTCGGGTTTTTTTGCAGTGTATTTGCGGGGTGTTTTGGACGTATAAAACGGGGACATTTCCGAAGACATCTCGAGTGGGGAACAGGACGGCAAAACCGGGGTTGACCCGGGAAAACTGAACGTCACCCTAGGTTAAATATTTTCCTATGTATTTCACCAAGTCTTCTAAATCTGGTCTGGAAAAGACGTATTTGATCTCGTCCTGGCAAAATACATAAATGAACTTTTCCACGACATTCTAATTTATTGAGATGCACCTGTACATATTTTACAGACTGATTTCACTTTGAAACATGAACATTTTACATTCAGATGAGTTAAAAATAGCGGAGACTACTTTATATGCACATCTGCCTAATCCATAAAGGTGAGTAGTCTGCGTCTGTTTCATGAAGGAATCGTGTAGCGATGGTTAGGTATGACTTTAGCACATACTTTTATAGTCGCACTGAATCAAATGCCTGATGGTTTTTAGGTTTATGGATTTGTTTTCGCTATGAACAGAGGGAAACCGCACACTTTAAAGGTATTGATGGATACGTGGCCAGCTTTTACCACTATCATTGTTCGACCAGATCCAAATGTGAGAAAAAACGTTCTTTATTAACTATTTAAAAAATGTGTCCAAGTAAACCACATTTATGTCAGTATCACTAATGTCTAAAATCTTTAGAATAATCGAGCAAAGGACTTTATGAAGAAGGTGACTCTATACAGTACCGATGAAGAAGTCCTGAGAAGAATGCTTGCTGTGGAAGATGCAGTTGACTGGAGCACATACTTTCTAATAGGAGGTATGACTTCGAAATTTCCCCCCCAAAAATGATGGTTATCGGAATAAATTCTGGTTACTTTTATATATGTGATCTACGTCATTCACCAATCCTAAAGGAAACTGCTGCTTCTTGGGGTGTCAATATTAAAGAGTTATCCTTGGTGCACCTTATGACATTAACTGAGCCCAGTCATTTAACTGAGCTGATTACCAGGTAAGATGGTAAGCTTTTTGAATAAGTGATAAATATCAATTTGTGTTTGTACAGTATGATACATTTTTCATAAAAGCTTAAACATGCTTAAACTTTCCCTTATATGTTTGCTTCCTTCCTCAGTGACCTAGAGCCCAGATTGTCTGTCCTCAATGAATCACATGCCAATGTAGTTAATAAGACTTGGAAATTTGGTGGGGATGACAACGGTTACAGGAACATCCTGAATCTCATTAGACATTTCCCCACATGCTGCATTACAGATGAGAACAATCAGCCTGTGTCCTGGGTGCTGTTATATGATTACTGTGCCATGGGGATGTTGTACACTCAGCCAGAGCATCGTGGGAAGGGCTATGCCAAAGCCCTGGTGACCACAATGGCACAGAGGCTCCATTCTCAGGGCTACTGGTGACCACAATGGCACGATAAATGCAGAGCACTAATTCCGAGTATGGGTCACCATACTTGGCCACATGTCACATCACTTTTATATGTCCGGACACCTCTGCTGTCCTCAATGGCAGCATGGAACATAAAAAAGCAATAATGAAAAAAATTAATATTCTTACCCAAGCTGTATTCTCGAAACCCTTCCACTCCGAGTTCAGCAATCATCCTTCTCTTCCACCTTTTCAGGTAAAAGGCTTGGTCAGGCGGCATGGTCTTCTGAAGGATTCGGGTCACACTGGGTATAGATGTCTTATTAGAATCTCTCTTAAATGTTATACGAGCCAAAGGTCCAGGTGTAGTGCCGAAATTTGCACCCTGTCAGATTATGCATCCCCTAGTATTGGTAGGTTTAGGGGAGGGGTTAGGATTAGGGGTGGGGTTGGGATTAGGCAATCAGGTAGCGACTTCAATGAGGGGGTGCATATTCACAAAAACCAATTCACATGCACAAAATAAGAATACATATTCATAAAATACGTTTCACAAATGCAAAACACAATTCACAGATGTACAACTGTGTACAACATTTTTGAATGTTTAAAATTCATGAGTTTATCATGGGCTGTGAATGTGTGAATGTGAATTATTATTGAGATCATTCTGGCTCCATAATTGACAGCTGGTTGAAAAGTTATCCACACGCTAGAACTGACCAGAGGGGAAGCCCATTGATCTCACACACTTGCATTGTATAACCAGCTTCAATACTTGCATTGTGATCGCCATACGTGATGTTCTTATCCTGTTTCTGTAGTAATTGTTGCAGCTATCTGCGCATGCTTTGGAAAACGGACAGATCAATCAAAATTAAATAAACCAAAAAGTTTTGGAGTGGATTAGCGATCGTGAGGTTGCTGCATTCCGGTGTTTCAAATGGGGCGCAATTTGAACTGGATCTACTGGGGGAATTATGGGAATTGTAGTTCGAACTGCATCGAAAGTAGGTTTAACACGTTACCATAAAACACCATTTCCCACAATGCAACTTTTTTGGTATAGACTTTAAAAATATTCTAGATTTTTATTGACAGCCAACACATAAAATATGTATAAATATGTATATAGGCTCACATTTCCAAATAAAACAATTGTATTGAAATCACTCGAAGCTTTTCAACACGTTACTACCACCTAGTGGTCAAAACTCTAAGCAACTGTACACAACAGCTTCTCAAATGTCATAACATATTGTTAACTACTTTTACAGATTTGCAAACTAGGTATGTAATAATATTTTCTCTGTTTTCACGGGGTTTTGTCAAAAATTCAACCAATTTAAGTTTTACTTTTATTTTGACGTGCAGCCAGAAAAATATTCGAGCCGGATGTGAACAGTGACAGGCGAAAGTGGAGAGTGAAAAGCAGCGAGCTGTTGAAAAGTTAAAAGTACAGTTTAATGTACAACCCAGAGACGATAAAATAAGCGAAAGATTTTCTGAACATGACATCTATCTCAGAGGACAGTGATAAGGAGAAGGTAAGTGCTGTCACATCTCTCTATTGTAAAGATAAAGCATATTAATTGATGTTTTAAGCAGGTTGCAATCTAACCGCCCAGCTCTGTTTGCACTTTATAGTGAGTAATCATACGATTGTCACACTCACTCATAGCATTAACTCTTTACTAGCTGTTCCTTAATAATAACTACAAAACCGTTTTTTTAAATAGTCGTCGTATCAGATCTATCTATCTATCTATCTGTCTGTCTGTCTGTCTGATAATAATTATATTGTTTTAGCTAGTTGCCAGTGTAATTATACTTTAGTGATATTGGCCAATACGTTAGTTGTATTTGTTTTGTAGTTGTATTGTACTTGGTATTCTCTTTTCTGCAGAAATGATTTGAGGAAATTTATCTTTTTCTGAACTTTTTTCCAAACTACTGTTACGGTTTGTGGGATAGGTGACTGAATAAGTTTTCTTTGCTAACATGGTTTTTGAACAGAGTTTGTGAGTTCATAAGCATAGACCGCAGAATAAAATATTTTAGCATTTTTTTCCACAGAGACTGTTCAAAAGACGGACTCTACATGACATGACTATAGTTCTCAGTCTTTGTTTGACGCTCTCTTCTTGATTTGTCACAAGATGATTAAGTTTTCACCAAATCATGTTTTTATATAGGTGCGCTCTGTATCAGTCGACTTGAACAATGATGCATCTCTCGTAATTGATATCCCTGATGCCCTCTGTGAACGTGACAAAGTCAAATTTACCGTCCACACCAAGGTGAGACAACAGATAATATTTATAATCATTCAAATAAGTCAGTTACTTGCACACATTCATGTATTTCACAGTGTAACTTACCATGATCTGTAGTAGTGGAGGACAGTATATCTTTGACTCATGGTGTCGATTTGCTCTTCACTTCCTCTCAGACCACGCTTAGTTCCTTTCAGAAGCCGGAATTTTCTGTGCCACGACAGCATGAAGAATTCATCTGGCTTCATGACACAATCGTGGAGACTGAGGAATATGCTGGCCTCATTGTAAGTTAAAACCCATATTCATATTGTCTAGATTTATGAAAGCTCATCATCAGCAACAGGCATTCTGTCGGCCAACATGAAAACCACAAAGTTTCTCTACTGACCATCAGTCTGCATTGTAGACTGTTGGAATAGCTAAATGTCTTGCATTTACCATATTCCTTAGATTCCTCCTGCCCCACCAAAACCTGACTTTGAGGGTCCCCGGGAGAAGATGCATAAATTGGGAGAGGGGGAATCGAGCATGACAAAGGAGGAATATGCCAAAATGAAGCAGGAACTTGAGGCGTGAGTTTAATTCTAAATTATATTTTTATATTTTTCCTATTTTTTTGCACATCCTTGTGGCATTACTGACATTTAAAAGTATATATTTAAAACATTGTATCCTTTCAGGGAATATCTTGCTGTTTTTAAGAAGACTGTGCAGGTTCATGAAGTTTTTCTTCAGAGATTCTCCTCCCACCCCATCTTCAGAAAGGACAGAAACTTCCAGATATTCCTGGAATACGACCAGGATGTGAGTCTTCCATTTTGTCTTGGCCAGTCCTATTCTTCCCAGACCAGGAAACAGAGAGACCGTGAGAGGGACTGTTGGCACTGCTTATTTCCTGCGACGCTGCAATGTTGGCAGTTTATACACAAATGGAGAGAGAGAGTGGAGGATGAGTGCAGAAGATATAGGATATTGGAGATAAGAGGATATTACTCTGAGGGCCACTTCCTGCTTAGTTCAGTGCAAAAACTGTCTCTGACTGGACAACTGTTTTTGCTGATATAAAAATATATATACAGTACATATAGGAAAAAGTCTCTTTAAACTCAGCCAAAACCCATAAGTCTTGTATTGCACTAATTTATGTCAGTTATACTGATCACAAAGACAAGTGACCTCCTTGGATCTCAGCCAGTGGCGATAAAGAGTGCGCACTATGGTTCTGCCTTCTGATCGGTACATATTGTGCTTGACTCTGTAATCCTCTTCTCATTTGTTGTTTAGCTCAGCGTGAGGAGGAAAAATGCCAAGGAAATGTTTGGAGGGTTCTTTAAGAACATGGTAAAGAGTGCTGATGAGGTCCTCATCTCAGGAGTCAAGGTCAGTATGCCAATCAACTCTCTGTGGGTATGTTTTTATTGATATCAACACAAGGCAGCAGTGTTCTGTCTCATGATATGTCCGTTTTTTTAACTTTCTTTTTGCAGGAGGTTGATGAGTTTTTTGAACAGGAGAAGACTTTTCTGTTGGATTATTCCAGTAAAATCAAAGATGCCACTGCTAAGGCTGAGAAAATGACGCGTTCCCACAAAAGTGAGACCATTTCATCCAAATGAATCAACTGGCTACAAGTATTTTGGCTTTTTGTTAATGCTAAGAGACATTCTTATTCACAAAAAGATTGTCTTTCTTTTCTAAGATGTTGCTGATGATTATAACCACATTTCTGGGGCTCTGAACAGCACTGCTGCAGACAACAACACTGCCTTTAAAAAGTGAGAAATATATTATATTTCATATTGTTTGCAGTAAAAACACCATTTAGCGAAGGACAGTAATAAATGTATGATTCGTTAAAGGGCATACTTAATTGATAGGCAAGTGAAACAAGCTCCTTAGTGTAGTTAGTAGTTGTTAACAGTCAGTACTGTTATATACACTGTCTGGCCAAAAAACGTTGGCAATAATAAAGAATCAAGGATCTGATCGTTATTGCAGTGATCAATATGTTTCTGGCATGTTATATGTTTGGCAACAATTCTTTTAACCCTACAATACCACAGCAAAAGCATAGTATTACTAAATCTGAAGGTCAAATGAAATCTTTCACAATTTGAACCTGGTGAATCTTGACATTATCATCATGGAATATGTACACGGGTACATCTTCCAACTTGACAGTTTGAGAAATAAAAAGCTACACACTGCATCAGTTAGGATTAAAAGAATTGTTGCCAAACATACAACATGCCAGAAACATATTAATCACATATTTGCTTATTTACATCTAGACGGTGACTTTTTTTTTTGCAGTGTATGTATATTTTTTAATGTCTTTTATGGCTCAATGATGATGAACAATTAAAACATAAAAAGTTTATATATATATATTTAAATATATATAAATCGACACATTTAAACATGTAAGTCAGAAAAATTTCAAACAACAGTAATTTTAAACAACAGTTTTTTTACTAAATCTATTTTCTCCTTCCAGGCACTTAGAAAAATATGCTGAAGTGTTTGAAAAGCTTAGAGTGAGTATCTGTATAGGATCTATCTTACCAACCTAATTTTTATTTACTTTCATAGGACCATAAGTGTGTGTGTTTTGCAGAAATTGGAGGACAGGGTGGCATCAGATCAGGAGCTCAAGCTGACAGAATTGTTGAGATACTACACAAGGGACATCCAGGCTGCCAAGGTGACACCTCCTGTTTGTGTTATTTCAGTTGTGTAACACTACATTGGTT